GGGATAAGCCCTCTTCCAAGGCTTTTGCGGGCAAGACTCGCACGGACGCTCGATTGCTTCCACAAAGCCAGGGCTTCCTTATCTATTGTGCAAAGATCGAGACATGTACAATCATGTACGAGCAACTACCACTTGCCAGCACGAAGTGAGAGTAATGATTGACCTCACGTGCCTGAGTTGTCATGCCTTCCCACTCCAAGAACGAAGAACACCAATGCATTGAATCGGGCCGAAACACAAAGTGCTTCATGCCATGATCTTCCTTGGCCAGCCTGCACAGGAGATATGACTAGACATTTCTCGTCAATAATCGATCACCGATACACTAAGCCTCAGGAACTCTTGGTAGGCGATCCACAGCGGCCCGTTCTCTTGCGTCTTCGGCGGGCGGTCTTCCTCGCAAAAAAATGAGTGTAAATCGTCAAACTTGCGATCTTGCACAACGTCTCCTGCTCCGCTTCTCGCTCTGGGCTGGTCTTGCCGCGCATCCTACCTCAGTTATATGGACAGAAATATATGTATCTACTGTTTTGTTATTGTACGAGGCACGCAAAGGCGAGGTGGAAGCAGCAGCATCTTCACCCGGTGCAGGTACTTCATCTGCACCTGCAGAGCAGCAACAAACAGAGCACTGCATGGTCCCAGCTAGACGAGAACAGCTGATTTATAGTTGAAGTGCCTCGCGACTCATCGCACTGCTCATCTTCGTTTGCCGGCAGCAGGTCGGCATCGTCGCAGTCATCACCCCCTGCCGCTAGAACCCCACACGTACCAGAACCCCCTTAAAAAAATCAACCCCGCTGTGCTAAATCACCAGTATTATCTCTATCCGAATTAAGAGACCCATATACATATGTGTATATATATATAGAGAGAGAGAGAGAGACACCGTACCATATGTCATGTTTACATTTAGAGCAAAAGATATGGATATATGGAGATGGATACGGATAACTTTTCAGGGTTTGCATCTATCTATATATATATATACACACAAATTTAGATACTATATGTAGGTAGGTATGTATGTATGTAAGTAAGTATGTATGTATGTATGTATGTATGTATGTATGTATGTATATGTATATGTATATATATATAACATATATATATACACATATATATATATATTAAATATGTGTGTATATATATATGTACAGACACACAGCGAGCACATTTACAATGTGCATGCAGAAGCAAAGGCTCATAAAAAATGGGATGTGTCACGGGGATCCCTCTAGCTACCCTTCTCCCCTCCACCCCTCCCCCCTCCCACCTCCAACAACGTCACCGTACAATATAAGGCTTGCTGGGGCTTAGGGAACAACTGCCTTCTGCAATAGCATCTTGGTCTCCATCATCAGCCGGCTCATCCGGGACATACTCCTCGAGGCCGAGTCCTGCGGTGAGATGCAACGTTACACAGGGCACGTCTGCGGGGATTCTGTTAATATTGAATATATTTAATTTGATGTGCAAAGATATAACCAACAAGTAATGGAACGTCTGACGAATTGTCTGCTGGGAACCCTCGGGGTCATCAGACACCTGTGCCGCCTTCGCCGCAACCAAGTTCTTGAATTTTTTTTTATGCTGCATGGTCGGATCCACATGAAATACCGGGGTGAGGATTGCAAGTCCAGTCACAACAGCATCCAAGCACTCAGGAGCTCTGACTTCCGGGAGCGGTCCTGCGCAATGCAAAGGCAACGTTTCCATCTCGTCAGGATTCACAGCAGTTCCTGCCACGAAAAACAAGACAGGTCATGGGTCGTCGTGATAGTGGATCCGAACTCATTGGCAGTACCCTGCATGAACTGAAGTCCTTTAAGCGGGGTTGTGTCGGTGGCAGAAGGCGAAGTGGTTTCGGCAGGAGATGGCTCGGGGCGGGCATCGACCTTCTTGGGCCTCGCGTACTTCCTCTCCAGGAGCTTTGCTCCCACAACTGCCTGGGCCAGGTGAGTTCATAGGTTCAAGAAACCTGTGTTGCTGACCTCATGCCGTGCACGGCTCACCTTCAGTTTTCCCATCCATTCCGTCTTGGCTTTCGCTGATTTTTTGGTCTCTCTGATGATATGGCCAGCCTCAACTGGATACTCAAATAGATAAAAATCATCGCTCAGCAATATATACAATGCAAGGGTATGATAGAACTGCGACGAAGAAACCAGACCCTTAAGAAGTGCAGCTTGTGTCTGCGCCACCTCTGGCATCGCATCCTCCTGGGCAGGTGTGAATGTCTCCAACAACAGTGCCTACACGTACTGGAATCGGAACTATAACATCATTAAGTCGAGGGTCCCCATATTTCATCTTTATGCAGCAAGCGAGCTCGTCCACGGAGAAGACCCGTTCGGCGACATTGAAAGCAGGAAATGTCCTCGAATGAGAACCAGAAGCAAGAATTACACACACTTGCCTCGGAGACACATGTCGCTCAAAAGGCAGGGCTGCATGCTGTCGTTTATTTACAGTTGGGAGACACAAGCAGCAAGTCCAAGTTGGCAATAATCACCTTGTTGCGTAGCTCTGCACCCATGGATTCCACTCCATCGTGGCGAAGGTCTGTCTGATCAAAGACCATAAACTGGTCCTGGCTGATCTACAAAAGGAGAAGAATTGCCAACCTAAAAATCGACCTTTGCACCTCGACCGAACAAGTTACTGACACATGTCCTGCGGCACGTTGATGTTGGTCCAGGCATCCAGACAAAGCTTGCCCAAACCAGACTTTCTGAACTCCGCTATCTGTTTGGGTTCCACAGGCACGGCCATGAGCAATTGCTTTGCAAAAGCTTCGCGAAGGCTACAGCAGGACGGGGGCTACGATAACAATACGCCATGTCACGTACTGTATGGTGTTGGTAGCGTACTCCATCATCCTGCTACTATGGTGCACGCACTGCACAATTACACAACACGACACAGTTACACAACACGAACGAGGAGCAGATGCACCCGTCACAGGAAAGTTGGGCTGCAGCAAGGTACGTTGAATCTGTACTTGATCTAATTAATGGCTCAACTACTCTAACTATTCTGACCGGACCACGTACACGAACCCAGGAGAGGCATCCAATGCTGCACCTTCACCCCCAGATGCCTCGTTGTCACAGAGCGCAGAAGCCCTGAACTCTCGAATCAAAGCCGCTTCCAAAAAAGCAGCTGCCTCCAGTGTCTTGACAATAGCGATGATGTGCATACGTACATAGGTGCCTTGTCGACCATACCCGTAGCTATCATTGAACCACCTGAACCCAGGATCTGAAGTGATCCCAATTTTAAACCTGGAGCCCTGAGCTGACACACCGGCCACAAAAGCAACACAATGCTGAAGGACAGCTGAAGCTAATTTAGCCTTCGGGAGCCGAAGATCGAAATGATGACCTACACTCTGGTTCAGGCCACGCATAACTTCGTGCAGCTTGGGAATGTCTAGCAACGTTCGATCGCACTGCTCAATCTTCCAACGCCACACGTTGTGCGTCGCCTGCTGCCCAGAGATTAAACACCCGGCTGCAAGACCCTCCGCCCGATCTAGTTTTCTCTTGTTGCTACCTGCACTACTCTTCGCCGAAGCATTTGGTTCTGGAGATGGTTCTGCGGATTCTGGAGGTGCATCTTCTAACTGTGGCGGATCGGTGCGTGTCGGGTCCAGCAAAAAGCTCGCTAGTTTTTCAAACCGACCGGTGTTTTCCGACATTCTGAAAACGTACGAGCAACCCAAGTAGTCACTCAACAAAGCACACGAACATAATTGCACTCTGCATGGGCGCAAGCTATGTTTAGCCAAACGGCTACCGGCAGCAAACAACGCCCAGACACAAATTCATGAATGTGCGGTAGCCCACATTCGCACGCGCATGTCATCGCTCAACAAGGCGTTCGCGTGTACGAATCCGGCCAAACGCAAAGCAGTACGTGTGTATGTGCGTGTATGTGCATGTGTGAATATGTGTATATATATATGCAGTATCGTATATAATATATCGATCGATATATATCTATTGTCTCTCTGCATCTCTCTTTCTTAGGGTTTCTTAAGGAACATTAAGGTTTTCGCTTCGATTTGAGCCGAAATTAGGGACAATTAGGGTTTTTCGCATCGTTTTGAGCCGAAAATCTACCAACTGCTGTACAGCGCGGCTGCAAAAATCGAGAAAAGTTATCGGCCCGGTCTTCTGGGCCTGCCCAAGTACACTTTTCCCTGGCTGAGTACACTTTTTCCTGGCTGACTACACTTTTTCCTGGCTGAGTACACTTTTTCCCTGGCTGAGTACACTTTTTCCCTAAGGACAGACATTGTAACGCACTGTTTTGGCCTCACAGAAAAACAGTACTCAAGTACACTTTTTTCTGCCTGAGTACACTTTTTTTCCTAAGGACAGGTGTGCAGGAAGAGGCCACACGAAACCGCTTTATGGGGGGTTTTTGCAAATAAAAGAAAGAAAAACAAAGAAAAAGATTGTCAGAGGCTCGCATCTCACTTTTTGCTTCTGTGCCATGGGTGCTTTCCACTGGGTCGGCCGGATACGAAAAAACCCCTGAAGTTCAGAGGCCGCCAGGAATATACCATCTGGCTCATCGGCATGCCAAAAGAAAGTGTTCCCAAGGCTCCCACCCATTATAGACCAGTGTAAGGCCGCTCGCCGGCTGAAAACATTGCAAACCAAGAAGAAGGTGGAATACCCACCTTTTTCCAAGCTGTAGCCTGTGCCAGCACGGGTGCGAAGCACTGGGCCAGGTCCATGATCCTCTGTCGCAGCTCCACGGGCAGCGAGGGAAAATAAACGCTTGCTTGCACCTCTTGGATGTAGATCTCCATGACCCGTTGGGAAGCCCAACGGCCCTTTCTGCGGACCAGCTCGGAGTCCTCTGTCTGAGACAAAAGAAAGGTAGCACCACCTGGCCTGAAAGACCCAAGGCCCAGCTGTTTTTTTCCCAGTTCGGGCCGAAGGCAGCCCGATGCGCTCGAGCACCCAGTCAAAACGACGGCGCAGCGTCTGCGGCGACTGGGCCCACAGTCTGTTCGAGGCCTCCAGGTCAGCGAAAGCCAAGTGCAGCAGCTCCACAAGGTCGCTCTGCTCTATCTTCGCACTTTGGTGCCTCGCCATCCTCATCCTGGTCTTTGGCTCCTCTATCCTTATAAGGGCGTGGCGCTGCAGGTGGAGCACATCAGCAGGAAGAATCAAGTCACTCCGCAAAGCTGAAGTAGCCTCTCCAATGCGTAACAGCCCGCCCCAGCTAAGGGCAAAGATGCCAGCCTCTCGAAGCCATCCCCAGTAGAGGCAGGTGCAGAGCATCGATAGCAGGATGACCGGAGGCATCGCTAGGTGGTGAGTGCTGGGCTCCTTTGCCATCCAGCTGAAAGCCAAGTCCCAGGCCCCTTGCAAGGAGCGTTTTAGAGAAGGCTTCATTGCCGCGACCCCGTTTATGGTCTCAGAGTAGTGCCAGTAGGGTCGCCCTGCTTCGTAGAGCTGCCTTCCATAGCGACAACGTCAGGATCCAGAGGGCGGGCCAAAAGCAGCCCCTCCAGTGTAAACCGCGTTGAAAGCGCCCAGAAGCTTCTGCCTGTTCACCGAAGTTCTCTCGAGGACAGGCCTGCCGACACCAAGCTGAACCCCACTTCTAGCCTTAGCCTCGTCGCGACGGTGGTTCGGAGCTAGGCTGGGAGCTGGGCCGGAAGAAGGTCCACAGGTTGCAGGCCCCCTCTCTGGGGAAACCAAGCGTACTGTCGAAGTCCTTGTGTTGGCCACCTGGCCTGCCCTTGCACGCAAGCTGGGGGGAGCAGGTCTCTAGGCCTAAGCGTTAGGGACCTAACTAGGAAACCGCAGCTGGCACCTAGGCGGAGCTGGAAGTAGAGCAAGGACAGGCGGAGCCAACCACAAAAAAACCTTGGAAAGTCCAACAAGGCAGCTGGTTTCGTAGAGGAAGGGGGCCGGGAGGCCCGAGGCGATGGATGCAGGAACGGGCGGCCTGAGGCTGACCCCACGTGTCGGGTCGTCTGCGGCATCCAGCCTGGTAGGGCAGAAGTGCAAAGCAGGGTACTGACCGTATGCTGCCTGGATGGCGGCTGACTGCTTGACAAGGGGCAGGAGGCGGTGCGAGGAGGTCCTTCCCTTGGTTAGGGCCCCAAAGACAACGTAGGAGTCCAGTCCATGCACAAAGCGGGCATCATCGCCAACGGTAGCCCTGTTCCGAAGTCACAAAGAAAGGCACGCACCTGCACCTCAAGCACATTTATGTGAGCACGGTCCCTCCAAGGCCAAGAGCAGGACACGCGCCAGCGCGCAGACAGCATAACGTCGTTGAAGAGAAGGCTCTCAAGGCCTCCGCTGGGAGCCGGGGCAACGGGGCGAGCACACACAAACTCAGCAAGCGCGCTTGCAAGGGCACCGACAGTTGAAGAGCCAGGCTCGGCAGTCAGGGAGGAGATCAGAGGCGCGAAGGTGCGGGCACAGGGCGCAGCCACAAGCACAACAGCAGGCTGGAGCGTAGTGGAAAAGGCGTCACAAGCACACAGCGTAGCCTCAACGGCCCCTCGACGCAAGCAAAGGTTCCTCCAGGGAGCAGTGCCACGAGCGAAGCTCTGCAGAGGATGAAGGACCATGGCCAAAGCATTGCAACGAGTAGCCACAAGGAGGGCGCTAATGGCCGCACTGAGGATTGCACTCGCGTCTGGTTCGCGAGCACGGGGCGCGCAGGATAGGAGGGTCCCAAGCCCTAAGGCGGGGCTTCCAGGCAGGAGAAAAGGAGCCGACCGGAGGCACCACCAACAGGGACTTAAACCTACCTTCTTGCAGCATGAAGAGAATCCACTCTAGGCAGCGAGAGTCGCACAGGCTGAAGAAGGGGGAGGCAGTGAAGTCCACAACCGGCCCCACACAGAGCCTGCTAGAGAGCGGGGTAGAGAGCCAGGGGCCCCCACAGCGGACCTCAAGGAAATCATACCTGCAGGCAACGGGCCGATGCACAGAGCCAACCTCTAACTCATGCTGCTCGGCAGGGCCCTCGTCACAAAGCCTGGTGCACCAGCCCTTTTGGTCGGCCCACTACCACAGATGGGTTGTAAGAAGGGAGACAGCGGAGCATCACACGTTGCACCTCGGCCTGTAGAGGCATCCGCTCTCTCTTAGGGCAAGGCCACCAACTCAGGTCACAA